CGTGGGTCATTGAAGTTATCCTAAAACGGGGAAAAAAAAGGATGAAACCATCTGCAGGAATCATGAGCACTCGTTAGCGGACTCAGCAGTTTGTTGGCAGTGAAGCTGTTCAGCAGCTCAGCCCATGCTAGTAGCTGCTCCCAGGGTTGCTGCTGAGGGTCACTAGGTGCTCACGGGACCTTTTCCCTGTCAGGACAAATCCAAGGTTCCTCTGGAGGATCCTGGGGGGCTCTTGCAGCCCGGATGTGTTTGCAGAGTTCAGTTTTGATGCTCTAGGAGGCCAAACAAGCCCACGAGAAATGGGGGGTTTCAATGGACATGGTGCCGCGTGCTTGTCCCGGTTTGTCTGGTGATGCTCAACCTGTTCAACCTTCAGAGAACCTTTTCCCACCTCTCTCACTCCAGGACAGCTCCAGAAAGGGAGTCACAAGGGAAGGTAGCATTTTACAGAATAAATGCCTGTGGTCTTCCTGTATTGAAACTGCAGAAAATAATGATGGGAAAGTTCTGTGACATTCTCTGCTACCTCTGGGCTAATGCAGAGCTGTTTCCCGGCATGGCCTAGATCCATTTTCAGTTTAGCTTTAATGGTCTGATGGAATAGTGGCAATGAAAGATGAAACTGAAGCCACAAATTTCTCCGTGTTTTGCTTCCAAATCAAAGAATTGTTCCCAGGTTCATTTGCTCACAGGTTCATTCCAGAGCTTTATGAAGAGGCCGTGATATTTTCAGCCAGCTCAGGCTGAGATCACTGCTCACCCGGGAGGCTGCAAATGCGTCTAGAAGCCCCTCCAACCTGCAGGTGCACAGAGACCTGCACGTGGCATCCTGTGATATCTGCTTTCCAGGGATAACCAGGGCCTGGTCTTTCTCTGCTCTTGCTCCACAGGGGCTGTGGGGTCCCTGAAAATCTCTGTGGGACATTGAGGACTGAGAAACACTGAGCCCTGTGTGGAGTCCCTGTGGAGGCACCCCGGGCTCCACAGACATACATGTCTGCTGATATAAAAGCCTCAAGTTGGGCACCCAAAAATGGGATTCATCCAAAGTTGCCCCTTCCGGGAGAACTGAGACCTTGGACAGCTATGGATGCAACATCCCAAACCAAAACAAAACCAGGAGTCCCGTCAGTGTGTTCCGAGTAAGGACTGGAGACACAAATGCTGCTGTGACGTCTGAGTGAGAGTCCAAGTTAATTCTGGGTTTGCACCAAAGAGAATTGCAGGAACTTAGTTCCGAGGAAGTTGCTGGGTAATTGCCACTTGGAAAAATCAAGCCATTTGATTAAATACTGTGATCTACCTCCTAACAAGAAACAGCTACTGTTCTGGGAAGACCTCCCATAGTTTATTGTTGTTCTGGGTTTGTTTTTCAACTTAGCTTATTTTACAGCAGTCTTTCTAGGTAATTTTGTGCATTACATTTGTTTCATAAAGCAGACATTTAAGTGGATTGAATTAAGTGTTTGCTACTAGGGTCTTTGCAGTTTTTAAATAAGCAAGCTGTATTTCAGCTGGCTTCCCCTAGGCTTACATTCCTCAAAATCCATCTCCAGTGCTTTGTAAACTGTACTGCCATTTGCTTGTGGGAACTTTCATGGGAACTGTATTTTTTTCCCTATGATCTTACATGAATAATTGTATCGCCTTTTATTTTTCTGGAAAAAAAAATGCTTGCAGATGTCTTTGTATGCTCCACTGTCCAAGTCCGTCTGTCAGCTTAAGCATTAAGCATTTGCCGTAAACAAACATGACTGGGTACCACCTGCTCCGTGTCATAATCTGATTTCTTTTTGGGAAGGTTGCATCCAGAGCCCAGGCGCTGGCAGAGGTCACGGGCACTCCAGATGTGTGTGCTGTGTCAGCTGGCCTAGTGAAACCCTTGTTTCCTGACAGGTTCCCAGGAGTCAGACAGTTCCCAGTCTGCCAAGAAGGACATGCTGGCGGCGCTGAAATCCAGGCAGGAGGCTCTGGAGGAGACGCTGCGCCAGCGCCTGGAGGAGCTGAAGAAGCTGTGTCTCCGGGAAGCGGTAGGCCACGGGCGTTTTATCAGCTCTGACACGTGGTTGCTTGCATTATATTGGCCTGCTTGTTGCTTGCAAGAGGTGTGCGAACAGCAGAAGCAAGAGGTTCTGCAGCCACCTCTTGCAAAGCGCGTTGTGCAGAGGCCTCAGTATCGCCTTTCAATCCAGCTTGCAGTATCACAAGGCAGTTTTCCCTCTGGAGGAGAACCCCATGTCAGTGGGATATCCAGAGGGGTGCAGAACATCCACATCTCCTGTTGGAAGTTGCATCTGAGATGTCATAGTCATTGTCATTGGCCTTGTCAGGAATTTCCATGTGCCTAAATGACAGAGGGAGACTGTTCTGTGTACTGGTAACTCACTCTTCAAATGCCTTTTACTTTATTAGGCAAAAATAAAAGGGGGGTTGGTATTTTCTTCCTAGAGAAGGCCTGGCCCTAGCTGCTTTTCTTCTCCCTGCACATTTTTTCCTGCTCCCAGCTCTTCCCTACTTTTTCGGCTGCCTTCCAGCTGGGTTATTGCCTCAAGCTGTAGTCATCTGGGAGCTGCAGAGCTGATTGTGTGACTTATGTGGGGTCTCTCCTTTGCTGGGCAAAGAACAGCATGGAAAATCCTCCATCCTTCACCCGGAAAGCCCTGGCACTGCCAGTGTTGTGGCACACCTTGTGAGGACAAACCATTGGATCCCAGAGTGCTGGGAGACAAGGGCAGCCCAGCTGAGGGGCTCGTCTCGCAAGCTTCCCACTCACCTATGTCTTCTTTCTTGGAGTAGATGTTGACTCATTTAAAAATCTAGTATTTTTGGAAAGGACAACTTTCCAAAATACTACTCTGTGTGGAGACACAGATTAGCAGCAGCTTCCCCTTGGGTCATGCAGTAATCCTCCTATGTTTACCAGACCTGGAAAAAAATGAATTTAACCAGAAGTGATGATGTGTAACAAAGCAGGAAGCTGGCTGCAGGCAGGGGCACTGAGAGCTTCCAGTTGTTGCTCAATATTTAATGTGTATCTCGTCTTTGACAGAAAGAGGGGAACCGGGTCACTGGCCACTGATGGAGCTTTCTTTGCTCTTTGGTTCAGTTTGTGACTTTAGTTCCAACAAGAATAAGGCAGGAGAAACAGCTCCCAATGAAGAAAGTCACCAGAAATCCCTGTGGTCCCAGATCCCCTCTTGCTCACCACGAGTGGCCCTTTCTCAGCTGAGTCCTGGTTGACTTCAGCAAACAGCTTACTCTGACAGAGGCTGCAGGGTGGATCCCAGCCAAGGAGTCCATGGAGTGCGGAGCTAAGATCATGCGCTGGAAGTGGCCACCTGCTCTTTGGGGACTGGTGGACAAAGTGGAGGCATCTCTGCTCATCCAGGAAGAATTTACCCCCACGAGATAACTCAGCCTGAAGGAAGGGAGAAGGAGCTGAGTTAGGAGCTGGAAAGGGGTTAAGAATTGGGAATTAATCAAACAGGCATGGCCAGAGCCGTTCATAACAGCGGCATTGAGTTACCTCGGTCGTCGCCGCTCCGGTTGCTTATTAATTCAGATTACATTTCTGGATTATGTCAGTGAATACTTTTCAGCTTATGGAGGCAACATGGTAGCCCGCATTAATTTTATTCTACCCAAGTCTTGGGCATTTTGTAGACGATGTTAACTCTTCCCCTACTTCTCTGATACATGTTACGAGTTATAAAGAAAATGCCCTTTTTCCTCAAGAGAGATTAAAGAATCTGTGTGTTGATGCCATCGCTGGAGTCGCATAACACCAGGAACACGGTGCAGAAGAGCAGCTGAAATAACTCCATGGGGAACACAGGATGGGACCAGCTGCTGTGCCGGTGTCTCTCACCAAAGTAGCCTGTGCACATCCAAAAAGAGCTTGTGCTCCAAACCCTGCCTAGAGGAAGGATTTGCAAAGGCCAAAATCTTCCTACTGCCCTGAAAAGAGTAGAAAGAAAAACCCCATTGGGGAGCGCAGAGAGGCCGGGGAGGCAGGAGGGGCCGGAGCTGCACTGAGGTCACCCCCTTCTTTGGGATTCAGATGGTGTCGGCTATTCTGCCAGCTGGATCCTCTCAGGGCCGATGCTGAAGAACACAAAAGCCTTTTGTCCTTCCTACGGAGACTTTGGAGTACAAGGAATTGGGCTCTTCTGGGAATGAGGCTCCTGCCTTATTCTGTAGCATTTGAATGCCTCTAATTCAGATATGTGTGGCTGTATTGTGCCTGCCAGAAGAAAAAACCTCACAGCATTCACATCAGTGTTGGCACTCACCGCTTCCCATGTGCCGTATTTTCCTCAGCAGTGTGGAATTTACTTTGGATTTTGAAAGAAACTTTGCAAATGACCCCACTGGTCTGACAAAGCATCATCCAGCATCACTGCGAGGCTGCCCATGACACCCCCTGGGTCTGGAAGGGCCTCTCATGAAATGTTATTGGGCCAGTAATTAGGTACCAGGCACCGCTTTTAGTGACTGTTTCCACTGCATTCCTCTCGGAGACACTCTGGGAATATTGTAACGTGCAGGTCACAACCTGTGTGGCCGCTGCCTGACCCAGCAGGTCTGCGTCCCACGCAGGCACCGGCACAACTGCTGTTCCCCATTGCACAAACACATCCCTAGAAGCAGTTTTGTTCAGTTGCCCCCCATCAGGAAAATCCGTGGTGCACAGGGAAGGCCTCCACGCCGCATCCCAAGCGGAGCAGGTTGGCAGGGCGGGATGCTCTGCTCTACCTGTCACCAAACGTGACACACTGTTAATGAAATGAAAGGCTGTGAACGCCTGTTGTTTTACAGGCACAGCTCAGGCTGGGCTCTCCAGGAAACCAACAGCATTTTCTTCTTGCAGGAGCTCACAGGGAAGCTGCCACGAGAGTATCCCCTGGATCCCGGGGAGGAGCCGCCTATTGTAAGGAGAAGAATAGGAACTGCCTTTAAACTGGATGAGCAGAAGATCCTGCCTAAGGGAGAGGTGAGGCTTTGCCCTTCCCTTCCAGCCCCATTTCCCCACCGCAGGTCTCTAGGCTTGCATCATGTAGGGCCTCGTGTTTTGCCTTTAAAAGACTGCAGTTGGTCACAGGGCCTTTTTTTTTCCTTTTAAATTCACTGGGAATCTGAAATTTCACTTAGTAATCAGATATACAGCGAAGCGCAGAGAGGGTTAGCGATCTCAGTTTAAGAGATTAAGTCCTCAGGCTTAAACCCTGGCTTTGCTGGAGGTCACAGAACTGGCCTGGGTGATAACTGGAGTAGTGATGATCCCCAGGCTCCGGGGCCTGGAGACTCTTGGTGTGAGTTGGGAGAACTCCCGAGGCTCTTGAGCCATCCGAGCCCTGCTGCTGCCTCACGTTTTTAGCACAAGCAGCCCCTTTTCTCCCGCTCTAGCAGCAATCTGAACTCAGAACCAGAAGCCCCCAGGTAGTTTTCCCCTAACAGGGGTGAAAAGCACCAGAAATCCCCATCTTAGCCCTGCAACAGCAAAGCAAAAACATTTTACTCCGCAGCCCCCAAACAAAAGAGCTGTCGTGCCTACCTATAGGGAGCTGGATTTGTGTTTTCCTGAGTTTGCCGGGGAGGGTTTGGTCCCTCCCCTGGCTCCCACAATGTGCTGGGTCAGTGCCCTGAACCGTGGCTGTGAAAACAGCTGCGAGGCGGGACCGGATCCACAGAAAAGCCATTGTCTGCGGAGACGCATTTGTCTCAAGACACTTGTGTGTATTCCAGTTTTGGGTTTCCTTTTTATTTTTGTAAGGGGAGAGCCTGGCTCTGCTGTGACTGTGCGGTCTGAGGCTCAGCTCAGCCAGGAAATTAACTGTTTGTCGTTCTGCTGGCATTTGCCTTCTGCTGACAAAAAAAAAATAAGCAGCCGGAGCTCTTCGGTTGTGTTCTCCATGGATCCTGGGAGAGGAATTCCACTGAAGTCAAATATTCATGAACTAGCACATTGAATTAAGCTTTTCAAAGGAAAGCACTGCTTAGCTCTGCTCCTAAAATCCCTGCAGCCAGTTGGCTGCTCTTATTTTCAAGCCTTATCTCCAGCTTCCCCAAATCCTGCTGCTGAGGGGCTGCTTTGGGACTGCGGGGTGAAATATCCCCTTATTCCAGCAGCAGGTTAGGTGGGCAGGGAAGCAGCTCCTCCCTGTTGCACTCCCTGCATTTGGCAGCCGTATTTCAAAAGTGCCCAGGAGTTTTTCCTCCTCCCACCTTTTCCATCTGTCAAAATTCAGGGCTGCCTTGAAAATCGTGAAGTTCCGTTTTCGAAGAATAACACTGGGCTTTGTTTATTTGCCTGCCTTTCCTAGAGCTTTTAGAGGCCAGTGATGATTTTCATACAGGTTTCAGCAAGTGTCAACATTGGAAACTCAGTTTAAATCAGAAGGTGAAATTCTCCCAGAATCACGTAATTCCGGGACTGAAATTGCTGGGGGTAATGGGGACCTGAACCAAAGCACTTCCCTCTGAAGGCAGATGAGAGCCTTCATTTCCCGAGGCTTTATTTCAGGGAGAAGATAAAACACTGGAAGAAAACAGCCAGTAATGGCCAGGAGGAAAATGGGAAATTGAAGGGGGTTTTGGTTTTGTTTTGTTTTGTTTTTTCCCTAAGATATCCTGGGTGATTTAGGGCTGAATCTGCAAAAAGCTTCCCCATGGCCGGGCAAGGGGAGTTTGGTGGCCACCAGGACCCATTTCCCTTCTCCATTTCCCTTTTCCGTTTCCCTTCTCCAAGGAGGCCGAGCTGGAGCGCCTGGAGAGGGAGTTTGCCATTCAGTCTCAGATCACAGAGGCCGCGCGGCGCCTGGCGAGCGACCCGAACGTCAGCAAGAAGCTGAAGAAGCAGAGGAAGACGTCCTACCTGAACGCCCTGAAGAAGCTGCAGGAGATCGAGAATGCCATCAACGAGTACCGCATCAAATCCGGGAAGAAGCCAACCCAGAGAGCATCCCTGATCATAGATGGTGAGTGGGGCTCAGCACCGAAAACTCACTGACGGCTCCATGGAGCAGAGCAGAACTCGTGGCTCAGGACATGGATTCCCCCTCCTTTTCTGCCCCTTTCTGCCACGTGCTGTCCCCGTGGTGCCTGCGGAAGCTGCAGTGGGTTGTGTGCAGGCTCCAGGGATGTGCTGGGTCACGCTGCAGCCTGGGAGTGTGTCGGGAAACCGACTGTGCTTCCTTTGTTCACCTCCAACACCGCTCTGTTAACGTCTGCTCCACAGCGGTGCTCTGCAAATGGAGTTAATGCCAGCAGATTGGGGTGAGCTCTCTACTGAACAGCAGCTGTAAAATCAAAATGGTACTGTGTCATTGCAGGGTGCAAACACGTTTTTTTCCTTTTTTTTTTACCGTGTAATTCTCAGGGGCTTGTATGGTTTACTGGGTTGTTGATTGTTTTTTCACAAAATCCATTAACTTGCTTTGGTTCCTTCTCCCTCGCTGATTTGATTGTTTCCCTTTCACTTGCAGAGCATTTCTCTGCGCTGTTACGGCAGGAACTGATCTTACAGCCACTGTCTTTGTGACCTGGGCACCAAGTTGACCAGCCAGGGATAGCACGGGGGCCTGAAGGACATGGGATAGGGAAGGCAGCTCAAATGCACGGCAAGGACCTGGGAGCTTTTCGTTGTGTTCCCTCAGAGAATACTGAGAAAGTGTTTCACTGAATTACACAAAACTGGAATGTCCTGTAGGCCCTTACCTACAGGATGGTCATTGTAGAAAGGCAAAGGTCAAATCCAAAGTCCTTAAGGCCTGAGGTCCACAGCAGATACAGATCTGAATTATGGCTCTGTGCCAGTTCACATCCTCAGGAGATCTCAGTTCGCTGTTATGACTCAGTCTTAATTCCCAAAGAGTCAGCAGCTCCCGAAGGGCAGCCTGTGAGCAGGAGATTCCCCAGCTCTGCCCTCCCACACTCAGAGTGGGCCCAGTCAGTTGTATATAGGAATCTTCCTGCCTTCTGGCTATGTGAGGAAGAAGACGTGGGTGACTGCTGAAGGCTAAGACTCGGTGGAAGAACATGCCAGGAATTCAGCATTCAGTCACTGTGAAGCCTCTGACCCTCTCACTGTCTGTATTTTCTTGCCCTCAGAAGGAAACATTGCCAGTGAGGACAGCTCCCTGTCGGACGCCCTTGTTCTCGAGGATGGTACGTTGGCTGCTGCATATTCTAGCAGGACCAAAGGAGAGAGGGATGCGGGAATTACTGACTGACAGTCAAACAGGGGGAAATGTTCTGTGAAATAACCCACCCCAACCTCCCAGTGCCCACAGGGCTCTGGCCTGAGAGAAGCTCCTCCCGATTCCAAATTGTAGTCAGCCTGAAGCTGTGAGTATCATCACAGCTACTCCTCTGGATTCCTGTAGGGGACAGTCCCACAGTCTCCCTTTACTTTCTCTTTAGATTTCAGTAATTTTCATGCCAGGTCACACACTCTTGCTGACCATTCCCTTCCCAAATGGGAATATCAGCTCACAAGGAGGCAGGCCTGCACGTGTGACACTGCGCTCCGGGATAACGCTGGCGCTGGAGGTGTCAAAGCCATCCCCTCTCTCCTCTCTCTCCACAGAGGACTCTCAGGTCACCAGCGCAATATCCCCTCTGCAGTCCCCACACAAGGGGCTCCCGCCCCGGCCGCCCTTGCACAACCGGCCTCCTCCTCCGCAGTCCCTCGAAGGCCTCCGGCAGATGCATTATCACCGCAACGACTACGACAAGTCGCCCATCAAGCCCAAGATGTGGAGCGAGTCCTCCCTGGACGAACCCTACGAGAAGGTCAAGAAACGCTCCTCACACAGTCATTCCAGGTGAGCCGGGCTTTCGGAATGCCTCCCTCCCGCCCCCAGATAAACATCCTCTGCTGCTGTTTGCCTGGAATGCCCAGGGTTATGGGTCTGAAATAGCCTCTTAACTCAGGAAAAGCTCTTTCCAAAATGCGTGGCGAAACTGTGCCTTGCCAAAGGGACCTGTAGGTGCATTCCTGAGTGTCGGAGTGGGTCGGGGGAGCCCCTCATTCTGCCTGGGGCCTGAAGCCCAGTGTTTGCTTTGCAGCAGTCACAAGCGGTTCCCCAGCACCGGGAGCTGTGCTGAGGCAGGCGGGAGCAGCTCCCTGCAGAACAGCCCCATCCGGAGCCTTCCCCACTGGAATTCCCAGTCCAGCATGCCGTCGACGCCGGATCTGCGGGTACGCAGCCCGCACTACGTCCACTCCACACGGTGAGTCCCCCTGGCTCCACAGCAGCCTAGCTTCCGCGCCCAAAATAACCACTCTGTCTTGTCCTGCCCCTAGTCTGGTAATTAATATCCAATTCAGGGAAGCACATGTACCAGTCCCAAACATGCCAGGGGCTCAGCACTGTCACCAGGAAGCCATCTCTGTTGAGCTTAGGTCCTCAAATTGCTTCTGATGAACACGATCCTGCCCTTCACCAAGCGGCACCCCCTCCAAGTAACCAGTGCTTTATTCTGCTGGGACCTTTCATCCCAGTGACTTTTGAGGCATTCCAAAGCCCACGCCACTTTTAAAAGGGGTGCGGTACAACTGCTCAATTCTGCAGCAAATTCCTCCCCAGATCCAGCTGGAGATAACAGATCATTTACTTTCTGCTGTGGAAGGTGGAGTAGTGTGAATTCTCTCTCACAGTGACAGATAAAGTGTGTGCACACGTGTGTGTTTATGTGGAGAGGGAGCCTGTCTGCTGAAAGCAACCCACCCAGGGATCCCTTTGGCCGCGGCTTGGCGGTGGAGTAAACTGAAGTGTTAGTCTGAGGGAGGAGATGGGATGTGCATGGCCAAATTCAACTCAGCTTTTCAGCACGATTTCTACAGCTGTTCAGTATCAGGGCTGTTTTGTTCTCATGGCAAATTCCCAGGGATTCCGAGGGGAACAGAGCTGAGCTATAGCTGGGTGCTGGTAGGTGTCCCGCCCCAAGCATCCTGCCCTAACATCATTTACTTTGCTATAAATCAAGAACAATGCCAACACAAGAGACTCGGGCAGGAACACTACAAGGCGCGAAGGTCCTGGGTTAAGTTTGTTACAAGTTCTTGGATGAAGGTGCCTTTCAAGAGCGCCGTGTTTGTTAACGCTGGAGCTGAGCTGCCTGCGAGACCAGAGTGGCCTTGACTGGCTCCGCCCGCGGCTCATTCACGAGCTGTGGGCCCTGGCCTTGGCCGTCTCTCATTTGGGCTGTGTGACTCATTGCCGGGCCCTGTTCCTGCTCCTTCAGTGCATGGCTGGAGCTCTCCAAAGAGGCCCGATGAGCAGAGACCACCCAGGCTTGGCCGTGAATCAAGCCTTGTAAACTTGCACACCCGGGGAGTTGCCTGAGGGACCGGCCCCTGCTGGCAGCCTCAGACGCGTTACCCGCCACCAGTCTGCAGGAAAACGTACCCACTTCACAGAGGTGGATTTCCAAAGGCTAGTGGAGAAGCCACCGCGTCCTGGGCTAAGGGAGGGCTCCGAGTTTTCAGTGTGCTCAGATTCCCTCACCACCAGCTCTGGCCGTAGATGCAGAAGGGAAAGGGGAGTGTTTCATTCTGTCGCCTTGTCAGCCTGAATGTGTTCCTGGTACCTGCAGGTCCGTAGACATCAGCCCGACCAGACTGCACAGCTTAGCTCAGCACTTTAGACACCGGAGCTCCAGTTTGGAGTCGCAAGGCAAGCTCCTCGGGTCGGAGAATGAGACAGGGAGCCCCGATTTCTACACCCCAAGGACTCGTAGCAGTAACGGCTCCGACCCCATGGACGACTGCTCTTCCTGCACCAGCCACTCCAGCTCCGAGCACTACTACCCCGCTCAGATGAACCCCAACTACTCCACCCTGGCTGAGGACTCCCCCTCGAAAGCCCGCGAGCGGCAGCGGCAGCGGCACAAATCGGCAGGCAACCTGGTCTCTTCCAACTCGGGCAGCATGCCCAACCTGGCGGCCAGGAACGGCACGGGCCACCACCGGGTCTACCTGCACAGCCAGAGCCAGCCCTCCTCCCAGTACAGGATCAAAGAGTATCCCCTGTACATCGAGGGCAGCTCCACACCCGTGGTGGTGCGGAGCCTGGAGAACGACCAGGAGGGACACTACAGCGTGAAAGCACAATTTAAAACCTCCAACTCCTACACGGCGGGGGGGATGTTTAAGGAGAACTGGCACGGGGACGAAGCAGACTCGGTCAGGCTGACGCCCTCCCGCTCCCAGATCATCAGGACTCCATCTCTGGGCAGGGAGGGCCACGAGAAGGGCTCGGGTAGGACTGCCGTGTCGGACGAGCTGCGGCTGTGGTACCAGCGCTCCACGGCCTCCCACAAGGAGCACAGCCGCCTCTCGCACACGAGCTCCACCTCCTCGGACAGCAGCTCCCAGTACAGCTCCTCCTCGCAGAGCACCTTTGTGGCGCACAGCAGGGTCACGAGAATGCCTCAGATGTGCAAAGCGACGTCAGGTGAGGGCCAGGCTGAGGGACGGGGGGACGGGGGCTGCCGAACGGTGCCAGAGCGTTGCACATTACCCAGCCTTTGCCTGCAACTCACCACGGCCTGCTGGCTCCGTGCTGGGGGTCAGCTTTATCCGAGATACTCATCCGAGGAGATTTTATTTTTCCCCCATACAAGTCATTGCTTTGGAATGATGAGTTCAAACAACAGGGATCAGAAATCCCCACTGTCCTCAGCTTTCTCCTCGGGCTGCAGTTTGTATTTGGGTGATGACACCAGGGACTGAGTGCAGGGTAGCTGGTGGGTCGGGAGCCACTCTTAGTCATCACAGCAAGGGAATGATGAAGCTAGCTATGGATACAGGCGAGGAGGGCTGTACGGCCTCTGTAAAACACAAAAGGCCCAAGAAAGGTTAAGGGTCTGAATGAGGAACATTCCAGCCCTTCCACCCCCTGCAAAAAATGTTTGAGGGATGACATCTTTGTGCCCTGCTGGTGCTTGGCTTTCCCATGCAGCTCCAGGAGCTGCGCTGCTTGTACGCTGCAATGCAGAGCGCCGTGGTGGCCCCCCGTCACGGGCAGGGTTTGCTTGTTAATATTAAACAGTGAGAAAACAGTCGCATTCATTACACTGAAGAGACCACCGAGTATTATGAAACAGTCCAAGGTTAAATATTTACAGGCCATCAATCACCACTGACAAGCCACTTTGCGTTGATCATGGATTTGCTAAAAACTTGAATGCAGCCCAGTGTGGCTGGGAGAAAAGGTTAATGAGACTTTATGCAGTTCCCATCTCCTCCTTTCCATGTGCCTCAGCCTTGACACGGGTGACATCATTGCCGGGTGACACCTTCTTGGGCCTGCAGCCACGATTATGTGTGCTCATGTTTGAGCATTGCACTGATTTCAGGATCCTCAGACACCCATTAACACCTGCCTGATAAAAGGATGACTGATGGGCAGTGCCAGGGTGTTCAGGAGGCCTCCCCGTGAACCGGGGCACAAGCAAACGGCCCCTGGAGCCATCCTGGGGCTCTGAATATGAAAAACTGTCTTCCTGCTCTTTGATTAATGGGTGTTTCTGTGTCAGCCAGCAACAGAAAACACTTGAATATTAAAAAAGAAAATCCCCCAAAGTCCTTTGGCTTGCTTAGCTTTGAAAACAGCATCAGTTTAGTTAGGAAATGTAGAAAGAAAAACGTAGTGGGGCGAGAGGGGTGCAGTAAAACCACTGTCATTCAGTGTGTTCCCCCACCCAAGTGGGACATAAACCTGAGTGTGATCTCTGGAAGTGCTGGGGTGTTCACTCAGTAGCCACAACGTGTCGGGAGCCCTTGGCTGTGTAGATGAGTTTTGCATTGGGAGAATGAGCTCCTAATTGCAACTGTGGGAAGACACTGACCTCAGGGGCTGTCAGCTACAAAGAACAAATGAAAATTTGTTTTTCTCTTTAAGTGCCCTTGGCAGCAACTGAAGAATTTAATAGCACAAAGAGGAGGCCAGGTAGAAACATCTGTCATTTAGCTGGTATCTCCTAGCTGATGTTGGAGGGGGCTGTGCCCTCTGGGAGGGCATGCATGAAGCTGGGAGAGCCAGTGGGGTTCCCAGTGGGGGGCATGTGTTAAACTGGGAGAGCCAACACGGTGCCGATTCCAGGAGAAGGAAAGGGTGGCCAGGAGGATTTCTCACGCGCTAGACCAGCACAGGGAGAGGCGCCCTGTCCCTCATCGAGGGCTTGGGAGAGCCCGAATCCTTGTGTTCAGCAAGGTTGGGCTGAAACCAAGCACTCCTGGGGACAGAGGGGGCCCGTGTCGCACGGCAGCGTCACCACCGGCCCCTGTGCGGGCTTTGGGCAGGGCTGAGGGAGTTGGGTTGCGCTTCCCGCTGGCCGGCCGTGTCTCTGCCGGTCTCCTCGGGCGGCGCTCACGGCCGTTTCCCTCCCCGCCCGTCTGTCTTGCAGCCGCGTTACCTCACGGCCAGAGGAGCTGCACGCCGTCGGGGGAGCTCGCCGCCACGCCGCCCGGCAGCCCCCGCCGCCTCCTCGCCTGGCAGACGGGGTGAGTGTCACCGAGGTCGGAAGGGACCTCCAGCCCCCCGCCCCAGCAGGGGCACCCAGAGCGCGGGGCACAGGGTGGCATCCAGGCGGGTTTGGAAGATCTCCAGAGAAGGAGACTCCACAGCCTCTCTGGGCAGGCCAGGGGCCCCAAAGGCTGAGCCCCTCAGGAGGAACCTCCCAGAACACGAGCAGAGGGAGCAGGTTCTGGAGGCAACAGCCCCCCGTGTGCTTGTACCAGGGGATAGAGTTGGGTTGACACCTGAGATACTTGATCTTTTCCAGCAAATAACTAGCAGACCAAGGAGATGTTTGTTGTGAAGGTTAGATGCTTCCCATACTTGTACGTGCACCAACCACGTTTTCTCCTAGGCTGTTCCTAGCAGTGTGACTGAATAACCACTAAGTGCGTCCTTTTTACAGCCATTTAATGCATTTCAGCAAAGCACAAGTGAGTCATTATATGCAGGTAGCCATTACTCACGTTAATGTAGCAATTGGGTTCTTTGACCTCTTTGTGAGGCAGGGAGCTGCAGAGTAAACAGAAAACCTTTTGCCACGTCCTGGGGCTGTTCTCAAGGAATGACCTGTAACTTTGTCCTGAAATAAATATTTGGCCTGAAATAAATATTTTGAGATCCCATCAAACTCAGCATACCCAAAGTATTTGCACCTAAGTTGAGTTTAGAGATATAAACCAGAAAGTTTCATACAACTGAACTCAAAATACCCTAGGCCTTACAAAACAGAGTTTTCTGAGTTGTGAATTGGGGCAAGAAGAGTTAATTCTGCAGGTATTTCACTGTGCAACCACTGGAAAATCCCATGCTCTTTAATTTCTTCCTGTCACCCATGGCCATGTTTGACCCCTGGTTTTATGGAGATGAGATCCATAACCACACATCCATTATACCTTGTTTGAATTTTAAATTCACACATTGACATCCAGCTTCGTATGGTCTTTGAATCTGCTTCCAGCATTAGAACAGGATCATTTTCCCATTCCCATTTCACAGAAAGTCAAAATACTGCAAGACCGGCAAGTTGCCAGCTCTGAAGTGTACACAGAAGTTTCCCCTGTTAAGGACTTGAATCTGGACTCAAGTCTTAGCCTCCTTTCCAAGCCTAATTCCTTTGAATGTCTCCACAATGAGCAGAATTAAGACTGGTTAGCAGCCAGCTGAGAATTTTGCTTGGGAAACTCTGGCTCTTCTCATTTCCATTCAAGGAAGCTGCTACTCCTGTCTCTCATCACAAAGAAAAAAAAATCTCGAGCCAAATTCTCAGCTGATGAAAGCAAAATTACCTGATTTCTAGTGTAGGATCTGCACCTACAACCAGTGCAAAAAGAACCAGCAATAGATCTGCACTTGTTTCACACCTGAGCAGAAGACCAGGGGTAAACGTATAAATATATAAGGGGCAGGTACCATTTGCCATGAGATGCACAACCCCCTGTTGCAAGAACAGGTTGTTACCTCCCAGCACGAATCCAGAGACTTGCAGTTCTCCCAGACATGTTTTTGTGTCACTAACTCTTTTTTTCGTAAGATGATTCATCGCCTTGTTTCCCCACTGGATTAATAAACTCGTAACAGCGTCTGTGCCACTTCTGTCCTTTAACATCTCCTCTCTCCTCTCTCCTCCTTTTTTGCTTTCCGTTGTTCAGAGAAGCAACAGACAACTCACCCACTATGGATGAGTCTCAGTCTCCAACCCACCAAAGTACTGATGAATAGAGGTATAGTAAGGGGACGTTTTGTTCTTTCACCCTCGTGCGCCGCAGTCCGTGCTGCGCCGCGCGGTCCCTGCGAGTGCCGGGCAGTCCCGCAGGAGCCGGCGAGTCCCTTGTGCTGCTCTTTGGTTTTCGGCTTCCTTCGGCTCTTGGAGAAACGTCTTGGAGGCACCGCTCGGCCTGGCCGTGTCCCTTGGCAGCCTCTGCTCGCGCTCTCCTGCGCCGGGGAGGCTGCGGAGGCAGCCGTGAGGTTGCAGGGAGGGAACAAGGAAAATCTGTGCCTTTGGGGTTTAATTCGCCCCAAATTAAGAAAGGCAGCTGGGGTCCCCATAGAAAGAGTGGAGGAGCCTCCCAAATAGCCCAGGTCTGAGATGAGCCCCGCCGGGTGCCACTGCCGTGCAGGGATCCAGGGAGAAGCGAGGTCCCCCCGGGAGGCAGGGAGAAACCCCCTCTCCCACACGGGGCCCGTGCGCTGGCGCAGGAGTCGGTTCAGATCAAAGCACAAGAGAGGAGCATCGATTCTGAGTGCTACTGCGCTAATACAACCATCATTTTTGTAAACACAAGATTCGGGCATCAGTCATTTTCCCTAGCAAGGAGGTCCCCAGACTAGGCCAGGAGCGGACTCTGACCTGAGCTCTAAACTAAATAGCAGAGAAAAATCCCATAGAGTCTCGTCCGTGAACAAAGAGCCCCGCAGCCAAAGAGAGCGGGGGGATCCGCAGAATGCAGTGGCGCTTGTGGATATACTGTATTCTTCCCTATAGCGTGATGTCTTATGTGCATGTTTGAACTTCCCGGGAGCCCTCGTTGCCCTAACGGCGTTTCCTTCCTCCCGCAGGAGCTGCAACGATAGCTGTTTCCTGGATTCTCCCCTCTATCCGGAATTAGCAGATGTCCAGTGGTATGGACAGGAAAAAGCCAAGCCTGGGACTCTAGTGTGAACCCCTGACCTCAGTCGAGTCGCATCAAGGCCATTCGGAGATCACCTCACTGCCTCCCATTTGCCTTACCCAGATGCACTGTCACCCAGCACCAGCTTCGACTCGAGCACTTTTCTCTCCATGGATTCTTTCCACCGGATCGTTTCGATCTGAGCGCCGGCCCGAGGCTTCGCCGCGACGGCGAGC